GTTCTTGCCTAAAGGGTTGCCTGTGTTCTTTTCCGTAAGAGTGAACTCGGTCTTAGAAGCCATCAGCTCAGCCTCCTCCCGTGAAGTGTCTTTCCCCAGTGAGGCAGGGCTGGACATCCACTTCCCTTTGCTTTACTGACACAAAGACCCTGCAGCTTGAGGCTTCTCAGTATTTGTGGCACTTTCATTTTTTTTGCCTTTGCTTCTTGTTCCTTGTTACACTTGTCACTAAAGGGCGCACGTTGAACTCTCTTACTGATGCTACTTTTCTTTCTAAGATGCCCCTAAGAAAAGGGGAATGAATAGATTATTATTATTATTATTATTTTTGGTGATACGTGCCCCTAGCGGGAACTGAACCCAGGACTCGCTGGTCCGCAGGCCAACACTCAACCGCTGAGCCAAACTGGCCAGGGCTGAATAGATTATTTTTTGAAATTGGAATAAATTACTGCCTTGAAAGAATCCTGAGTCAGTACTGTTCGTTTACCATCTGTAGTAGAGAAAAGACTTGTAGCTTTGTGGGCATCAGCAACAGCTGCAGCTCATTATTATTTACTAGATGTGTCTTTGAAGAGCAGATAAATAAAAATTCTATATTTTAAGTGACTCTTTATTTTTAAAAGAGCTTTCCACGTTAAGAAACACCTTGTAGTGAATAGAATGATGACTGCCTAATTTGATCTCTTTTGACAAGCCATTTTCATCATGAAAATCTACAGTGTCATGAACATGTGACCTTTCTGTGAGAATATGGCATTTAGTTCTAGGTTTTATTTTATTTATTTTTAATCCTCACTTGAGGACATGCTTGGGGGTGGGCGTATGGAGGGAGAGAGAGAGAGAAACATCGATCGGTTGCCTTCTGTATATGCCCCAACCCAGGATTGAACCCACAGCCTCGATATGTGCCCTGACCAGGATCGGAACTGGCAGCCTTTTGGTGCTCAGGGTGATGCTCAACCAACTGAGCACTCTGACCCGGCTAGCTCTAGGTTTTACAATGTTCATGTGGTAAGTAGGATGAGGCCCCAGCAAAACACATGGGAAAGTCAGAAGGAGCCAGGCTGTTTAACGGGACTTGCGGGTAGACTTCACGTCAATTCTGTTATATGGTGGGATATCGAAATCCTTGTCTGTCGGTCTGTCTGTCTTTCAAGGACAAAGCAGAGGAATTGGGCCTACAATACAGCAGGGAGCTGCCTTCTGTTTAAGGCAGAACCTTAGTCCTCCCCGGACAGTTCAGAGGTGGATAAGGGACTGTGCTGTGGATTCTTCAGGAGCTTAAACGTGGCAGGTCATTCCTGGATTCTTAAAACGTTAAAGCGAGAGGGACGGGAGATCATCTTCTCTCACCCTGTCGTTACAGGTCAGTGTCACATAGATTGTTTACCTGGGGTAATTTTGGCACGGCCTTCTTGAAGGTGAGGAATGTCGTAAATGAGGGCCTGGAAGTCCCTTCCAGAGCACAGCTCTCTGCGCAGGAGCTGTGGGTGTCGATGCCGCAAGCTTTCAATTTAGGTAAATGGTGTGCGTTCCCGGCGGAGGAATTGTGCTGCTGGCTCTGCAGGGCTTGAGAGTCGAATGTGCTGATCCTCCCAGCGAAAGTCAGGTACATTGAAATAAGCAGGGACAACTGTGGGAGTTCAGCAGAGATCGCCGGTGGGGGGGTCCGAGGAGCCCATTGAAATCCAGAGGCGGTAACACAAACGGAGCCCCAGGAGCAGGTGTGGCTGGAGTCTGTTCAGTACCTGCATTGAGGGTTGCCTTTTGTTTTTTTAATTTTAAATTTTTTAATCCTTTTGGTTGTGAATATTTTTAGGTCGACAGAAAAGCTAGAAGAATAGTGCTAAAAACACCTGTACGCCCACCCCCTAGATTTCAACAGCTGTTAATGTTTTTGTCATACTTTTTCAACTCTGCCTTTGTGTGTTTGCTTTAGCCATTTGTTAGTTAGTTATGGGCATCGTGCCATGTTCACCCCTAAACATGTCCATTGGCACCTCCTTAAACCCATTCTCCGACATGACCACAATCCCACTACCAAAAAATGGAGGAAATTTAACAATAAGACATTAATACCTAATTTCTATTCTCTATTTCAAATTTCTCTAATTGTCCACATGTTAAAAAAATTTTTTCTTTTTCAAACCTTGATTAGAGAGTCACACATTGAATTTTGTTTTTCTAACTCCTAAATAAATTTCTTTTACTCTGTGTGTGATCAGCTGCCTTCTAATCCCACCTGTTTGATTTTTATTTCATGACACTGACCTTGAGAAGGACCAGACCAGTTTTCTCCCAACCTTTGTGTTGCTACCTGACCAGGGAAGTTTCTTGCCAATTGAAGATTTAAAATGTTTTTAAAAACTTTACTTAGCCAGAGATTTTGTGGGAGTTCTCTAGTCAGGCTGTCAGATATTCCTGATATACCATTTTCAGTAGCCGATGTACTTGAGTCTTTATTTGCAAACACAAGATAAGGCAGCTGTAAAATGTTAGAACAGTTTAGAAATCTATAAACTATCAAGCGAGGGTTGTATTTAATGTCCCCATGATGTAGCTCTGAGATAACAGTTCATCACTTTGGTGAACTTACCTTCTTTCTCATCTCTGTGTGCTGTTTTTTCTTTGTGTATTATAAGAACTGGGGGTCTCTATACCCACAGCCGTGCAGCTTAATGTTTATCTCACTAACCGTGCGATATGGCCGGCGTCCCACGGAATAGGTAGTGAGGGTTGTTTTTAACAGTGGCTGGGATAAATGTGTACCAAGCCAGCCACATTCTTTCATCAGTGTTTAAGATGAGACACACCCAACTGTAAAGTGCTTGGCCCAGGATTAGCTATGTGGCTTGTGCCCACAGAGCAAATATTTTCCTCTGTGTGAGGCTTCTGAGCTGATGTAGGGATTGAATCTTGGTGTTCTGTGTGCCCTGTGTTTCAACAAGTTGTGGGAATGTGTGAGCAGTAAACTCTTAGGGGCTCTGTGTTTGAATTCTGGCTCTCTCTTTGTCATTTTTGGGTGGGTCCCTCCATCGTCCTTTCTGTAGATATCAGGAGATCATCAGGTTGGCCTACCTTGGAGGTAAACACGATAGTCTGCCAACACAAAGTGATTTAGAAATGTTAATATATTTTACCAAGTCAACGTCTCTACTAGCATGTGTATTTTAAGCCATCATAAAGCATATACCTGTCATGCTAAGGAATGTGCCGGAGGCAGGCATCAAAGGCCCAGGGAGTGTGGGGAGTGTGTTTTGCTGTGTTGTAGGGTTGTGGCCTGAACCTTCGTGAGCACTGGGGTACTGACACTGAGTGGTTGCTAAAGGTTGAAGCTCTTTTATTTATGAATTCAAGAATTCCTGCAAGTAGTGAGTCATACCTGTCCATGCAAGGGTCAGGGGCCTCAGAGGTGAGTCTGTGGGTGCAGGGTTGGAAGACCGGCTGAACCTGCCTGGCTTGGGGAATCAAGGTAAGAGCGACCACAGGCACAGGAGATGGTAGCTTGATGGACAGCGGGAGGTTGAATGGAGAGGCTGTCTGGCGTTTCTGGCTGCTTTGGGAGACAGGAGCCTCCTGCGAGAGCCTTGCTGGCTCAGGGTGGGGTGATGAAGCCACTTGGCTGTCTTATGTTTTGCTCTCCATGGCGACAGTGTCATCACCGGCATTTGGTGGCCCACCGGGGTGTCAGAAAATCTTGTTATTAGTAAGTTAAATTATCTGTAATTTGGTGACAGGGCTTTTGCATTAAAGCATTTTATAAACCCTGGCCGGTTTGGCTCAGCGGTTAGAGCGGTTAGAGCGTCGGCCTGCGGTCCAGAGAGACCCGGGTTCTGATCCCGCTAGGGGAATGTACCTCGGTTGCAGTTTGTCCCCAGACCTGGATGGGTTGTGCGGGTGGCAGCCACTCAATGTGTCCCTTTCACGTCAATGTTTCTCTCTCTCTCTTCCTCTCTCTCCCTCCCACTCCATCTGAACAAAAAATGGGGGAAAAAAAGCATTTTATAAAAGAACAAAGTGATGGTAGGGTGGTTCCCCACATCAAACTGTCCACATATTTGGTAAAAAAGGACAAGGAGCTAGCATTTTAAGCACTTTAAAGAATTCACATATTTAAAAATCTTTTTAAAAGTAGGAAGTTGCCGACTGTGCTCAATGTGTATTTCCTTCCTATTCTGTTATCCATTCTAATAAAGTAGACAAGAAAATAAGTGATAAAATATTGAGATCAAAATAAAGGGAACTCATGCTACTGAAAGTAAAGAGGCAGTGTACAAAGATTTTAATTTCAGGGTCAGTGTATCATTTAAACCAACGAACCTCACTCTTCCCTCTGTGAAACGGGGATCATAAAATCTACGCCACAGGCTTGTTCGTAGGGTTGAAATAAGATAATCTATACTTAGAAGTTAGAAAACGGTCTTCAGACTTCACTCCGATTGCTTTATGGAGCAGACAGAATTGTACAGTGAAAAAAGCATGTGTGTTGAAGTTGCATAGACATTGGTTTGAATTCTTTGTCATGCAGTCTGCCTTCTTGGGTGAGTTCTACGTATTTATTTATTCTCACCTGAGGATATGTTTATTGATTCGAGAGAGGGAGGAAGCGGGGGTGGGGAGGAGAGAGAAACATCCATCGGTTGCCTCCCGTAAGAACCTGACTGAGGATTGAACTTGAAACCTAGGTGTGTGCCCTGACCGGGAGTTGAACCGGGTCCTTTTGGTGTACGGGACGACGCTCCAACCCAGCCACTGGGCCAGGACTTGGATGAGTTCTTGCAATCTCTCTGAATCCGTTTCTTCAGCCCTAACACGGGCTTTATCGTGTCACCCTTGCGAGAGAGTATGCAGTGCAGGGCTCTCCCAGGTGCTTTGGAGGCTCTGGAATCGGGGGTTTATCTTGTTATCTTGGGGGGGAGGTTGCAGAGTGTAGAATATGTGCCGTATCACCTACAACTTCCCGCCCGCTAATGACCTCGCTGCTTGTCTGCTTGCAGCGACCGCAGAGGACCACGCCGGGCATGGGCACCTTTCCCCGCGTCTGGAGGAGCACGGCTGGTCGCGCCATCGCCGGGTCCCGACACTGCTAAGGCCGTCTCAGGGGCGTGGGCACCAGGACAGGAGGGCAGCGTCCCAGGGCCACAGAGCCATGCCTTTCGGCCTGAAGCTCCGCCGGACACGGCGCTACAACGTCTTGAGCAAGAACTGCTTTGTCACGCGGATCCGCCTGCTGGACAGCAATGTCATCGAGTGCACCCTGTCGGTGGAAAGCACAGGGCAGGAGTGCCTGGAGGCCGTGGCCCAGAGGCTGGAGCTGCGGGAGGTAAGGGGGGTGTGTGGCGGGTGCGCGGGCGGCAGCTCACCCGAGGGACCGGCCCCCTGTCTCTCGGCACCTGCCATGCCGTTCAGCCGCACCCTTGTGTTTAGCAGAATCCTGTTACACTTAGCATGGGCTCGAGCTCACCCCCGTCAGTGGAGGGAAGCCAAGACACCACCTAGGCCTCTCGAGGGGTGACGGCCTCCCTTCTGTTCCCGCGGGCAAGGAGGTTCCGGGGGCGTCGGAAACGAGAGACTGTCCTCGCCACAGTCTTCTCTGTCTCTGTCGCGTGGGCAGCTGGGGCGGTGGCATCCGGCTGCGCGTCCAGGGGAGAACGCCCGCCTACGGATGGGTGCAGCTGCTTGGAGTTTTTGCCCGTTTGTTTCTATATTTTCCTCTTCAAAGGGAAGAAAAAGAGAGTAAGCATTTAGTGAGTGTGAGCAGTGAGGCTTCCCGTGGGAGCTTGGGAAATGGGGGTTTTGTTCCTTGTAAGACTTCCTGTCCCTCATTTTCCTGGTGTCCTTGGTGCGACTTCCTCGGGCTTTGCGCAGTCCCGGGGTTGACCAGGAAGATGGCCGTGCCATTGCGCCGTGGCAGGGAGTGTTCCTCAGGGCAGCGGGTCCTTTCTGACATGCAGGCCTGCTTTCTTCAGTCTCGCAGACATTCCGGAGGAGAGACGTGGTGAGTAACCACACAGGCATTTGTGTCTTGAGAGCCATGTGTCTTACCAGCTAGTGGGTAAGGTGATAGGGTTGAATGGTCGCCAGTGCTGTAGCCCCGTGGGATTCAAGCCTTACCGAGGACTGAAAAAACTGTCATTGTCCTGGGGCTTGTGACATCACTGTCCAAAAGCTCGGGGTGATGGAGAAGAGGGATGCTGTCTGTTGGAAGTGATTGATTGATGGTGTTTGATCCCCTCTCTCACCCCTCACCATCCACCTTCTCTCCAGGTGCAGAGAGGAACTGGGGTCACAGAAGGTCTTCTCCTGTTGGCTTCTTCTATGGGCCGACTCTTCTCCTCCGGGAGACTGTTCTGCCTGAACACTTCTGTCTCCTGCCAGGCTGCGTGTTTATACTTTGGTTTCAGAGGTCAGCTCTTCCTTCGAAGTTGAACTTCCCGTGTGGGAGCCTGCCCTGCCCTGCAGATGTGTGTAGCTCTGTAGCTGACACCCTGGGATCACGTGTTCTGACCTTGCTGGTTGATGGCTGGCCCTTTTTTCTTATTAGTAATGCATTTGGGTATATACATATTTAAACGTAGGGATGGCCCTGACTTGTGTGGCTCAGGGGTTAGAGCATCAGCCTGCACACCTAAGGGTCGCAGGTTTGATTCCCGGTCAAGGGCACATACTTGGGTTGCATTTCCAGGTTCCGTTCCTGTCCCCAGTTGGGGTGTGTGCGAGAGGCAGCCAATCGATGTGTCTCTCTCACATCGATGTTTCGCGCGCGCTCTCTCTCTCCCCCCCTCCCTCCCTTCCCCTCTCCTCCCCCTTTCCTTCCACTCTCTCTAAAAACCAATGGAAAAAGTATCCTCGGTTGAGGATTAACAAAATAAATAAATAAGTAAACTTAGGTATGTACATGGTTATAAAAGAAGAACCTTAATACTGTGGGTTGGTTGAGCAGGAGACTGGTCTAAATTCTTGGAAAAATTTTTGTTATAGATCATTTAACAATAGATGCAGTGCTTTGCTTTCGAGTCTTCCAGTAAGTCACATTAGAGTAATTAAGTATTCTTCACAGGCCTTGGGAGGCACAGGCCTGTGGCCGAGTGGTCACAAGCGCAGCCTTTGGAGTCTTGGACTTGAGTTCAAGTTACAGGTGGTGGCTTTTCAGTTGGGTAACCTTGGAAATGGCACTGCTCTCCTGGGCCTCAGTTTTCTCACCTGTAAAACGGGTACAGTGATACTCACTTCACTTACCTTGTAGAGCTGATATAAAGATGAAAAGAGATATAGTAGGGCAAACACGGAGTGCTGTCTTTAATGATATGTAACTGTTCAGTTTGAGAGTCTTTTTCATCGAAGAAAATGAGCAACCGCTGCATGTCAGGCACTGTCTTGGGACTTGCTGAACTGAGGGTAAATAAGGTGCAGTTTTGCCGGGAAGACACACACAGCTGAGTAGGGGAGCCCAGCACTTAAACGGGCAGTTAAGATGGGATGTGATCGCGCTGAGACAGTGCAGGGGCGGCCGTGCCCCCCCCAGAGCTGTGCCTGCCCCTCCGAGCACCGTGCCTGGCAGGGGAGAGGAAGCCTCCGTGAAGGATGAGAGCCTTCTCTCTGAACAGGGCCTGAAGGGCACAGGAGTTCAGCAGGTGGAAAAGAAGGCGAGGTCGCCCTGGGCGTGGGGAACTGGATTCTTGCAGATCCAAGGATGTGAAAAAGCCGGCACATTCTTGGGGACTGAAAAGCCACCTCTGCAAATCACCAGGTAGAGCTACAGGGTAAGGTGCAAGGGGGGGCGTGTCTGGAGATGCGTATGGTAGTAATTACTCTTAGCAGACTATTGTCTCTGGCAGGGAGAGGGCAAAGGTCAGCCCCGGATTATCCCTCCACCGTGTTGTCACAAAGGATAAAGTGGTGAAGTCCGCATTTTGCTGTCAGGTGTGTGTGGCTGGTGACTGAGCTAATGCTCAGGTGAGGCTCAGTGTAAGCTGGCTTTATTCTGACCTGCCCCGGACGGGTACATGCACATCAGAGCGAATCACTTTCTTTTCAAATTGTGTGCTTTTGCTCTGTGATGGATGGCATCGGCGGGGTGGCCTTTCGTGCGACAACCCTGAGCTGGAGCAGTCTAACACTGTTCTTTCGTGTACCCTCACCGTGGGGAGGAGCGCGTTGCACCCCGAAGCTGAAGGAGGATGAGCACAGGGTCCGCTCCGCTCACTTGACTTTGTGTAGGGTCAGTTTCCAAACAGAGCGGATGGCGCTTTTGAGGAGAAAGTGGAAATCCATCTAAGATACAACCAAAGGCTTGGTCTGGATGAAGGCTTAGGAACCAGATTACGGTGGATGTGTGGCTTTGCCATGGGAAGCGTCCTGTGGTTTAGGTGTATCCTCAACTTTCTAATAGCTTTCTATTAGGAAAGGTAAATAATTTTGATTTCATTTTTGATCTACGTCAATTACAATGTGTGTTTTACCACTTAGTTTTATTAGATGATTTTATTTTATTTTATTATTATTATTTTTTTTTTAATCCTCATCCGAGGACATTTTTCCATTTTTTGTACAGACAGAGTGGGAGGGAGAGAGAGGAAGAGAGAGAGAGGGAAACATCGATGTGAAAGGGACACATCGAGTGGCTGCCACCTGCACGACCAACCAAGGCCGGGGACAAACTGCAACTGAGGTACATGCCCTTAGCGGGAACCGAACCCGGGCCTCTCCGGACCGCAGGCGGACGCTCTAACAGCTGAGCCAAACCGGCCAGGGCTATTTTTTATAGCAGTTTTAAGTTTACAGCAAAGTTGAGTGGAAAACGGTTCATGTACCTCCTGCCCCACCCCTCTCATACCCTCCTCCACGGTCAACATCCAGAACACGGGAGAACGTGTGTGGCAATTGATGAATCCACATCAATACATCATTGTTCCCCAAAGTCCACAGTTTACATTAGGATTCACTCTTTTTTAAAAATTTTTTAATTTATTGAGAGAGCAAGGGAGGGAGAGAGAGAGAAACAGAAATATTGATTTGTTGTTCCACTTATTTATGCACTTATTGGTTGATTCTTGTATGTGCCCTGACTGGGGATCGAACCCGGAACCTTGGTGTACTGGGGATGATGCCCTAACCAACTGCGCTACCTGGCCAGGGCCTAGTAGGGTTCTCTCTCGGTGGTGTACACCCTGTGGGTTTTGACAAATGTTTAAGGACGTGTCCATATGGTAAGCTTTTTGAGGGTCACATCTGGCTTTGAGTGCACTCTGTGATACCATTTCAAATGGCACCAAGAAGGCCTGGGCCTGGTTCTAGGGTCAGTAAATACAGTCACACCCAGGGAACCTGGATATAATTGGGCCCCTGCTCCCAGAAACCCTAGCGTTTAGAGAGTAGGACAAACAAGCAACAAAGCAGAGGGAACAACCTGTGCCGAGGTGCAGAAACAGGAAGGCGTGTGGAGTTTTCAGGGAAGGGCAGAGTTCAGTTTGCACCTGTGTGTGCGCGCGTGTGTGTGGGTGCGTGTGTGTGTGTGTGTGTGTGGAGGGGTCATGGTGGGAGGGCAGGAGTGTGGAAGGACAGAGGGAGTTTGCTTTTGAAAGTTCTAATGTATCTAGATAGGGAATTTTAGCTGGATCCTGTAGAAGATTGTTTCCAAAATGTGTCACAAAAGTAATTAAAATAATCGCCACCTTTTAATGTGCTACCTGTCATGCTAGAACCTTCCATGTGTCAACTCATTTAGTTCTCTGCTATCCCTGTTAAACCGACGAGGGACCACAGTGCAGGGGGACCTGTGTGTTTTCACCGGTTCCAGCCCAGGCGGGCTGACTGCACCATTCTCATTCCCAGGGATGTGTAGTGGAAGAAGGGCCGTGGTAAATGCTTTGGGAAACACCTCTGTAAGTTCTGTAGATTAAACAACAAATGTGTTGAACTGCGTGTTTCACGGTTCTTTTAGTTTTCTGTTAGCTACTCACTGAACTGGGTGGGGACTAAACCTGCTGCGAGATGGAAAGCCCTCCAGAAGTTTCAAGGTGGAGCCTGACCCGATCACCTTGCGTTTTGGGGAAAGAACCACGTAGCAGAAAAGCAATGGGGGGACGGGGACAGGAGGGACAGCGACGCTCGTCAGGTGGACATCACACTAATCCTGGCAAGAGGAAATAAAACGCATTCCTTAGGGGAAAAAAATTTTTTTAATTGTTTTAAGTTCAGGAAAAAAAAAAAAAGGTATGAGTTTCTGGCCAGGAACTTTATTAAAGGAAGAGATTTAAGAGATATAAAGGCTCAGAAAATTAGAATCCTCATAATATAGTTACAACATATCTGGATCAATGG